CAAGAATTTTGACATTGTGCACTACATTGATCGAAATGTTCGTGTTCAGGACATTCTAGTTCAAAAACAGAAATATGTATGAACGTTTTTAAAATATACTAAAGTAAATAAAACGAAATAGATTTGTTAAATTTACAGATAGCCTATAATATTATTATTTAAACTTTTACAATATTTACTTACAAATATGACTATAGTCTATTAAATATATCTATAAAAATAACCAATATTTATAAAATATTTTAAAATGTATAATTTTTAAATATATTTTACTATAATAAAAAAATATCCTATAATATATCTGATATAAAACTCTGCACGTAAAGGTAGCTAATTCATTCTACAGAATAAATAAACTTTTCTGGTGAACTGCTTCAATATACAGCGAGGAGGATAGTACACATTTTTGCTTTTCAACGTGTTCTATTGGCCGATTTCAATCGTCACAGAATGTGTCTCACTCGTGTTTGATTGCTAATAAAAATGCTACACCCTCACGCACCTGATGGAGGCGGTAATTTTTGTTTGAAGTGCCGTATTACGTGATTGAATTATGGAAAAAAATGTTTAATGTTCGCTCTCTCCAAATCTGGGCGCGCCAGTATGCCCTTAGAGATGGCTAAATGCGCCAGAATATTACGAAAGTAGGCCTATATATCTGAAAAACGAGAAGAAATTGATTCGTACAAAGATTTATTAGCCTACATCCATTACAAACTAATAATTAGGTTATGGTTATGCCTATATTTGGCAGTTATTATAACACAGTGTTATGAATAAATTTAAAATTTGAGGTTTAATACCTACATACTTCAATTAACGGCAATCCTTAACACGTGTTAAAATGAATGATTATCGTACAGTGCCCACCAGTGGCCGAGTGGTCTTCGTACCCTAAACACTGGGAGTTCGGTCGTGGGTTCGCGCCGCGATCGGACAGGCTGGCTGCTTGGGGTTTTTCGGGTTTTCTCCTTGCCAATAACGACTAAATAGGAGGCCAGTTCCCCATAAAAGTCCTCCCGGAAGGCATTAGTTCCCCTCGCGTAACATCGCGCCCCAGAGAAGGCAACGGGAAACCACTCTGGGTAGTAAATTTCCCTAGTATACACCTTGGCGGATTACAAACCTACGCCAGGTGTCGCCGACGTCAGGAATCTGATATGGCACCAAGAAGAAGATCGTACAGTGAACATTTTTGTAGGAAAACAATCGTATACAACACAATCATAATGTTGTATCAAAGAGAAATCCAATTTATCAAGCAAATATAATATTACTTCTGTTTAATTACGTCCTTTTCCTGTTGATAATTTTTTTTAACCTTATCAGAATTATCGCCCCCCTTCTCTTTAAAATTTATTAAATATTATTTTATATTTTATTTTTTATGTTTTACGCTTTATAAAAATCCTACATAATCATACATATTTATTTTTTAAAATACAGACTTCGCAAAAATAACATACGACTCTAAAATTGACACCTAAAGATAAATAATTATTACGAGTATTAACGTGATCTTTGAAGGTGATGAAGTTGAGCCAACTTCTTTGTGTTTTGTTCAAAACTAGCTAAAAAAATAATCTCAAATCACCTTTTTTTGAGTTACTTGCATATTATTCTTCATTCGCGTTTAAATTATTGTAAAAAAAATCAATAGAAATAAGGATTGCATAGGATTGATGGGATTAGACAACCCAACACATGTGCTCTGTTCTAATGGTAGTACTGTATATCTGTATATCTCAGGAAACTGACCCCTATTTAGGTGATAGACACGTGACTAAAACCCGGAATACTCAACGCCCGTTAATGAGGGCGAACCTGCCGCCGTTTAGAGATTTTTGGGATTACCCACCCAGCAATTGTGGCATCTACGGATTTTGAAATTGAAAAAAAATAAGGCAATTTTACCGTTGCAACTGTGCATTATAATTTATTAATAATTCTATATCTACAACTAAACGTTCAATTAAATCGAGTTGAAGGGTTGATCGAAACCAAAATGGGCATTGAAGAAAGGTCCTCTTAGGTCCACAGATTGAAAAGAATTTTTAAAAAATGTATATTCTACAGACTTATTATATTATTTTAATTTAATTAAAATTATTTCGTATTTATTATTATGTAAAATTAACCATTAAGTGTATCGTTTCTTTCTTTTCTGTAAAACGATTGACGAAATTTATCATGATTGTACTCACGTTTACATTCTTTTTCAGATATACAGAAACCGTCTCCACTAGGTAATTGCCTTACATAATTGTCTTGACAGATGCATCCATTTACGCAAATTTTAGGACAAGGAGGAGTCACTATTTCTCCAGTAGTCCAATTACAATAAGATTGACAATGAGCCAGACATTCAGAGTACTGTTCGTTAAAACCGCACTCTGTAATAATTTAAATAAGTTACATTTTCAATAAATTTAGAACAATTAATATCGAAATATACTTACTCTGTTCATCGCCCCAACTAGTGTACAAAAAGAAGAAAAATATAAGTGGAAGCATGATGTCAAAGAAGGTTTTTATGTTAAAAAATTCATCTGATTTATATAAATATATAGATATACCTGTTGAGAAATATATATTTCCTGTTTATATTATATAAACAGGAAATATATTTATCTGTAATATTGCAATCGTATAAATGCACTAAATCCTTTCGAATATATTAAAATGTAGTAGAAATTTATTAAATTATTTGGATGTTTTTAACTAATCCAAACAACAGAACGTGTTTTAAGTTCCAAATTTCTTTAAAATACATGAATTTTACTATTTTTATTTTTACAATGAGATTAATAACGCTTTCTATTAAAATTATATACATTATATTATCGTCATTTTCTAAATATGAACTTACATATGTCGGTCAGATTGCTACTCTGCAAGATATCGTACTACTGCTGTGAAGAATCCTGTTTGAAATCTCATATAAATGTTAATTTATATAGATTTATATAGTAAATGTTAATGACATTTACTATATAAAGTTAATCCATAATAGTGTCATTACAATCTATTCTCATTCATAATGAATTCCTTTGTTATGGATGAGGTCTGACACATGAACTGTGTGGAACCGCTTAATGAAAGTCAATTTCATAACGTTGGTGGTGCGTTGCAAAACCAACCAACGCATATGTTACAAATGAATAATTACAGTGTTACAAATCATGAGGTAAGAGTAATTATACAAAACATTTAAATTATTTATTATTGTATTTTAATAGATAAATCGATTTAGATTTAACTTATTTTTAACATTGTGGTGCTATGTTTTCCGAAAATAAACACATATTTAATCAAGATCATTTAGTTTCTTCGAATTTATACTTGTATATTCACATAGAATAAACTAAACTTTTGTTTAAACAATCATATTTAAAATATTCCATTATAAATTCTTTCGAAAACTTCTTTCGTAAATTAAAGAATTAAGTGTTTACAGACGTTATTCTTAATTAATTTCCTCTCCCTTAATTAATATTCTCCTATAATTTCTAGAAGGAAATAAATGTTAATATAAATGTCAGAATAAATTAATTAAAAGTGCAGGTATCTCTGATATAACACAGTAGAATTATGTTCCGAAAAAGTCTCGTGTTATGCGAATCCGTGCTATACCAAACAAATGACTAATGTAAAACATGGGATTACGTTCTAGATGTTAATGGTTGAAGAGAGTAGTGGTAGGGGAGGTGGAGCTTTAGGAGGGAGATAGCATGATCATATAGAAACAGGTTAAAAATTGATAGTGAGTAATATTACTGGTGAGGTTGAGCATGTTTCGACATGTTATCTGGGATATTAGGAATAAATATAAACAACCTGCTGTTGAATTAGATCATGTTTCAACGAACTAAAAAAGTTCAGTATCTCGCTGGCCATCTAATGCCACACTCAATTTATATCCAACATTCGAACGCTACTGTGCCTGTATTTTTATTTCTGTAATATGGCTCGCAGAGGTTGTGTAATTTCTCCACACAGCTTCTCTTATGTTTGCGGTGAATACACAGTGAAAAGTCAACATCCCGTTTACACGATCCTCTCTTTTTGAAAACAATGGAAGAAAAGGAAAAAGAAGCATGGGACTCTTTCAAGAATATAGTGTATAAGTTTTGGGGGAATATTAAGGACCCTGACTACAAAACCATTGTACAACGCATGCTGGCATCGTATGAATCTCAAGGATGCAAGATGAGCTTAAAAGTTAATTTCTTGCACTCCCATATTGACTATTTTCCTGAAAACTTGGGAACCTACAGTGAAGAACAGGGTGAAAGATTTCACGAGGATGTCCGTGATATCAAGAGACGTTACCAAGGAAAATGGGATGTCAATACGTTAGCTGACTACTGTTGGATGCTCAATCGAGAAACCAGAGAAGGAAATCAGAAACAAGTTCGGAGAAGCATCAAAGAAGAAAAGGTGTCATAAGAAAAAAGAGTAGATCTAAAATTGGGTATAAATATCAGAAATAATTTTTTGATTAGTTGTAAGAAAATATAATATATTTAGTTCATTGTAATAAATAAGAGTTTTTATCAAATATTTGTTTTTATTTTGCAAAAAACCTATATGTGATGGGATGTTACGGAAGTCAATTTTAGAATCCCCGATCTTTAAAACATATAATTCAGCAAAAATATCCCATGCAGCTGGAAATTTTTTTTTTTGCAGACCTGTGTTCTCAATGTTAATATCTTTGTCTTATTGTTATCATATCATCGTTTTAAGTCTATTTTATTTATTTTACTCGCTTTATTTTATTTTTATATATTTTGTTCGGCTTCAATTGTTAAACGAAAAGAGAAAATCTTACGTTATATACATGATATTCCCTGTTGTAATTGTCATAAATAAATAAGTCACAGCTGAGGGCATCAAGCTACAAAAAGCCTAATGCTATTCTCAAAGACAATTTATACACACTGTACATTATTATTTTATGAAGAGAGAAGGGTCTAAATTTTATATTTTTCAGAATGCTTTTCACCTTCCGAAGAATATTCTGAATGTACAGGAAATTGTGATCGATATTGCGAGTGGTCTAATGGAACTATAATGGCGCCTCGTTGTTCAGAAGATTGCCAAGAAGGATGTGTTTGCAAAAATGGATACGTCAGAATTCACAAGGAATGGTTCGCTTATTGTATTCCTGAATCAAATTGTAAAAGTAAGATTCAATATATATATATATATATACATACATTAGGCTATAATTAAAATAGACTTAATGTTATACAAGCTAAATTAAATTTTGATTACTGTAATTTTTTCACTAAAAGTACCTGAATTGTTTAAAGAAGAGAAATAAATATAACAGAAATTACAGTAAAAACTGTATAAACCGAATATTTTTTCCGTTTTATTCAGGTTCCGTTTTGGATAGGTGTTTATATTATGTTCTTGGATCAGCTACTGAGCTATCTTTAGTACACGATTCGTGTAATAAAATAAGCAAGATACTAAATATAAAAGTTTAATTGCTTTAAAATAACTACTTAAACTTACAACTAATGTAACGAAATTAAAAAGTAACGATAATGATATTAAAATATAAACATATTAGGCGCGTGTAAATGTCAAGCAGCTAAAGGACTTAATGATACACAGTAGTTCGTTTCATCTATCATTGGTTTCTTACGACATCTAGACACATACAGTACATTACTGTGTATTAGAATAATAACGTTTATGTTAGCAATAGGAGACGATCGCCTCTGTGACCATTTGGATAAGTCTTTATGTCAGATCTGTTCGCTCATTAAATTTCTAGAAAACGCAAAGTAATACTGCAGGACGACACTACACTTCACATATAAGTCAAAACAAACGAACCACACACAAAGCGATAATTCGTAAGTTCTTATTCTTTTTAAGTACAGTAATTTAAATAAATATATTATTATTTCTTTTTAATAGAATGTCCCGATAATGAACATTTTGATATTTGTACACGTCATTGTCAGAAAAACTGTAAAAATAAAGATGAAGTAGTTCCTTGTGCTATGATATGTATGCCTGGATGCATCTGCAACTCAGGTTATGTCCGAGAAGTCGATGAAAATTCCTCATGCATCCCTGTTGAGGATTGTAATAATTGAATTATTTTTTCAATTAATTTTGAATTTTGCTTTGTTGTAGAGATGAAAAATCTTGTAATAACCTATAGAATAGAATTAAATGTCCGCTATACCCCATAATCATGGAGCAAGATAATGTTCTTTAATGCTGTTCGGTACACTTAAAATAAACTGTTATGAAAAGTATCTTTTGTCGTATGAATTTATTCTTTTTTTTTACATCTGTAATTAGAATATATACAATTTATTTTAAATTAATATATAAGAATAAAATAATATAAAGAACATTTAAATTGGGATAAAAATAATAATAATTTTAGCAATAAAATAATAAATGAAAGGAATGATATAAAAAGATCTTATAATGATCTTCTTCGCGTGAAACAGAATATAAAACAATAGCAATATCAAATATTGGACAGTTGCGTAAGCCTTCAAAAGAATACATTGAAATTATTATAACTTAGGTTAATAGTAAATGATATAATTTATGCGAGTAGTTTGGATGGTGAAATGTATCAAGTCAAAGACGAACTTTTCTTTGTAAATGTAATATCTAGCGAAACGTTTGATAATTAAATATGATGCTCTGAAAATAATGTTTATAGTAACTTTAGAATAAATTTAAAATACTATTTTATAATAAAGCTGGCCTAAAGAATAAAACTAACATTATAGTTCTGTAATTGTTGGTTGAAACGTGTGTAGACAGTATGCTTTTTGTGGTCAAGAGGAGGTACCATTATTGGTCTTAATACAGATATTAGTTAAAATCTATACTGTATCAATCTACAGTTATAAGAATGATATTAATAGATTTAACGGACATTTAAAATGTCCTCATAGTTGTGGACTATATTCTTCCTCATAATAAGTATAATAATTTTTTCATAGAAATACTGGAGATTTTAGGCGAATATATATAGGGTATTCCGCCAATCACCGTCTTGAGGTAAGGAATTATTCGTACGGACAGACACGAAATTTGACAAATTCACAGAGGTTGTCAATAGTGCGCAATTTACATCCAGCACTATTAAATGGGCCCTTATTACATTTTTTGATTACTCATCGCAATTAATGGAAAATGGCAAAGCTTAATCCAAATCGATCGAACAGATTTTGAGAACGAATACAATTCTGTAAGCAACATAGAAGAGACTTCGCTAACGCTCCACCTCCATAACGTTTTTCTATGTAGAAACTTGAATGTTACACTGTATTACTCTAAAAGTTTAATTGAAATATGAGTTCACATGAGCCATTCGAGTCGTTAAACATGCTAAATTTTATACTCTGTAATGAAATCTCGGCCGATGAAGAATTTAAAACGTAGTAGCTAAATTTAAATCTAATAACAGTGCCGGATTAACCAACAGACAAATCAGACAAATGTCCCGCTTTCAGTAAAAATAAGTTTTTCGTTATACCAGAAAATCATTTATTATACAATTATTATTGTTTTCTCTATTATTAATAAAAATTTTAAGTGAACATTATTTAAGATTTCTTTAGAAGCACTTATTAAAATCAGGCTCCAATTTAAATATTGTCTAGGGCCAGCTAGAGTGTCGCATTAATCCGGCACTGTAATAAGACACCTTTATAGATCGATTAGAGCAGAATGTTTTAGACATGTTTAATAAAATTGCAAATTTTCCAAATAGCTGGATTGAAATTCTGATACTGTATTTACCCATTTATAAACGAGATGTTGTTTCTGACCCAAAAAATTATTGTCCCAATTTCACCAGTTTTAGTATTTGGTAAATTATTTACAGCTATTTTGAATTCTCGTTTAATTTTCCGCATTAACGCAATGAAAATATTACATCAAGAAAAAGCAGATTTTAGAGAGGGATGTCCTTATTTACAAGGACTTCAGAAACACAAGAGACACGTGTTTACTAGAGACTGCTCTCTGGTAAACATTAGTTCTAAATTATGCCAATCGCGGCAACTGAATTTGTTACGGGTTTCGGGTCGTGGTTACAAGTTTTATCGTTTGTTTATCGTGCTTTCGAAGTTGTTGAACTCGTTATACGTTAAATAAAATGGAATGTAGTGAGTGTGGTTTAAAATATACCGGTCCAATATTCGAAATTATTAGTTAAAAGTGAAAATAAAATAAATTTATGAATAGACACCTTGCTTAAAAATGAATTATTGTATAAAAATTTAATATTGTAAGATTATGAGATAGAATTACGAATAAAATAAAACATAGGGATCTTAAAATTTATTATTTATAGAACTAGTAGGCTTAATGTTCGTTTCTGAACCATTTATTATAATGTACTTAACGATACTTTCCACTTTATATTTCTATTTCCATTCCTTAAAATCACTAAATAAATTACTATATCTAATTATAATCAGATATTTAATATCGTGTAACTCTCTGAAGTGTCTTACTTAATACTTCTTCTTTTTTTTTTTTATGAAATTGACCTGAAAAGAAACTACATTTAAATAATTTTATAACTTCATCATTCCTGTTATAGACCTTTTTATGCTTTTTTTTTTTCATATGTCTGCTTAAACTTTGCTTATACTTGTAGTACTTTATGTTGCATATACGGCATTCCATTTTCAACAAAGACAACGAATTGACGGGGGAATTTCTAATTAATTAAATATTTTACATTTATAATTTATTTTAAATTAAACATATAACCATAAACAAAGAAATATTTCAATAATCAACTGTAATGCAAACATAAATTTTAGCAATAAAATAATAGAGGAAAAGAACAATATAAATATTTTATTCATAATGAATATTAAAAATTTTATAAAAGAAAGTTTTTAAACTTTCTAAGAATTTGTTGAGAGAAAAAATTTAAAAAAAAAACATGACAACACATTTATAAATAACATTCCACATAATACCAGAAATTCAACAGAAACAAAGATTTAAATTTCTACATATTTTCCGCTAAAAATAACTCATAATTTGTTGAATTATTTCAAAAGATACATTTACAGTTAATATAGAACTTAAAAGTAAAAATAAACTCCATTATATTAATATTTAAAAATTTTCACTGGAATACTGAAAAGTATTTATAATATTGTACATTTATCTCATAAAGCACAATATGATAAATACAATAAAACAATTTTATGAGATAAATGTACACATGAAAGTTATCTTTATGACAATATACGTTCATACTATTGCATTTATAATAAAGAATTTTATGTAAACAATTTATTTTTGGTTTGCATAATTTCACATGCAAAATAACTGCAAGAAGAAGGAAGTCGAAATAAAATCTTCCTCCTTCTAGCATCTTGAATTAGCCTGTCCCAAAAACGGTGTTTGCTCATAATACTAAGATACCCACATAAAATCAATGAAAATTTAGCTGTTGTTAGTAATATATTCAAAATTTTATAATTATCTTCTTCGTGTGGAGCAGAATATAAAACAATAGCAATGTCGAATATTGGACATTTGCATAAGCCTTCGAAACAATGCACTGAAATTACATGATTATATTTATATTTATCAATTAAAATGTCTCTGATGGTATCTCTTTGATGTTTATACTTTGTAATGATGCCTACAGTTTTATCTTCAGGAATTATTTTTGAAATACCATCCCATAATTCGGCAACAAATTTCATCTCCAGGATCGAACTCTCTTCGTTTTTAACATCAATCAGATCCATAACACAATATGGAAGAATTGGAAGTTGGCTTGAAACATTCGCAGATTTCAAATTATTAGAATAGAAATACGATGAAGGAAAAGAAATTATAGACGGATGAATACGATATTGTAACGATAGCATCAATACTGGACTTTTATCAGTTAATTTTTCGAAATAATTAAAAAATCTTTCGAATAATGACACGTGAAAGCCGTATTCGTAAGCAGTTTTTGACAATAATGAAGCTGAAAATCGTTGAGGATCTCCTACAAGCAGTAACTTTTCTATCCCAAATTGCAATGGAATTAAATTTTGTAGTTCTGTAAGTTGTGTCGAATCATAAACAATACAGTAAGTAAATTCATTTCTAATATTCGTAAATTCAGAAATTAAATTATCGGTTGTTGTCAATATTACATTTGCATTAATTATAATTTCACTTTTGAGATTCTGAACTAAATCCGAATAATTAAGAATAGCAGGAAACATTTTGTTTACATTTCTTTGAATTATTTCTTCCATGCAAAACGGTTTTAAATTAACAAAGTTTTTCTGGTGTTTACCAACACAAACTAAACGTATATTTTCGTTATTCAAATCGTATAACTTCTGTCCTATTTCTTTGATACTTCTTTCCGATAGAGACAAAACTAAAATTTTTGATTTATTGTTGAACTGCAATAAAATCTGTATAATACCGGCAACAGTTTGACACTTGCCAGTACCTGGTGGTGTTTGTAGCATAACAATGCAACTATTATTCGATTGAACTAACGCGTGTGATATATTTATAATAGCATTTCTTTGACAGGAAGTGTATCGATTGCATGCTGCAAGTCGATTTTCAGTGACAGTATCAATTCTACAACATTCAAAATCTGGTTCAAGTACGTACTTAAGTAATGACGATTGTTTTAACGACACTAATGCTTCACATTGCTGTATAAAGTTAGTTATGCTACACACTAAAGATATTCTGATACGAACTCCTTGTGCTAAAACTAGACCATATTGTTTAAGGATTTTAATTAAATATCTGTTGTTGCTGTTATTCTCGGTACTTTCCCATTGCAAATGTTCAACAACAAAACCAAATTTATAGCTTTTTTGTATATTTTCCAAAACTGTAACCACTTGAAAGCAAATTAAATCATTTATATTAAAATTTTTATTAGTTAGCATTTTGCACTTAATACACCAAAGTTCTGTTACTGAAGTTTCCAAAATAATTGCATCAAATTGATTGTTCGTGTTCTCATCAGCTGATTGATTTATAAATTCCAATAAATCAAACATGAGTAATTGGAAATATGTATTAAAATATTTTTCGTATGAATCGTAATGAAGAGAAACTTTCATCAAGTAATTAAAATTAATTTTTGAAGTTTCTTTCCTTCTCATCCATTCTAAGATAACTGCTATAATTCTTTCCATTATAATTTCTGTGAGCCGTTTAGAACATTCTAAATTATTTACAATATTTGGGAAGCATCTAGGAGTTTCCAAAGTTTTCAGAAATGGTATATAGAAGTCATTTGACATGATGTTATTCTCATCGTCGAAACGAAACGATGTATTATCACTGTACAGCTTATTTGCGAGTAGAGATGATGTATTTTCTAAGGGCACAATTTCTTCTTCATTATTAAATACAGAAAATCTGTTTGTGTTTTCAGGTTTCTTATTGCGTGAAATATTATCTTTCGATAATAACAAAGAAAATTGTGATTTGTTGCCAGAAATCTTGTTAAGTTCAGTGATATTTGTTTTGTTACACTCTGAATATTTAATTTTAATCTTCGGTAAAAGCATTCTTGTTTCTTGTTCATTCGGTAAATTTAAATTTATTTTCTTTTTATTTTCTGAGGTAGATTTATTAATTATGGGTAAAGAATAAACTTGTAACTCATCCAAGTCTTGTGTTGTATTTGTTATTGTTTTCCTTTTATCTTTTTCTAAATAACTTTTACTTTGTATTTTATCCTGTGATTTCTGTTGTAGAGTTTCGAGAAATGAAATTTCTATATTATTTTTTATATATCTTGAAGGATAGTTAATTGACGATATTTTTTCCGAAATGACTGGTGATAACCATTGTTTTTCAGTACTAAATAAACTTTCAACTTCATTCGATTCATTGTTCGACGTAATTCTAACCGAATGTATATCTTTACTTTTTCTATATTGTTCGTTAATATTCTCTTTATTACTTTCGTGTTTTACTCTCTTAATTCTAAGTTTTAAAATGGCGGAATCCATCGGTTTTGATTTTGAACTATTATTTTCAAATAAAGTTTTCTCCAAGTCTTGCTTCATATTATCTGTAGATGAACCATAAAACGGCTCTTCAGAATTCATCTCTAACCATTGTGGACTGGACATAAATGCCTTTTCCTTGTTTTTTGATTTCGAATTCGATAATTTAAATAATCTTGAATTTTTGCTGTTTGATTGAGTTGACGTGGTTTTATTTTGAAAATGTGGCTGTTGTATGTAGTTATGTTGTAATCTAGTTATACTTTGCTTTCTCGATATGTCTCCCTCTTTAATACCTTCATTTATTATCTCATAATTATCTTTACAAACATTTTTCGTACTTTTCTTTACACGAAGTTTAATGCTTAACTTTTTCTTTTCAAAACTATTTCTCTTGCATTTTGACGACGAATTAACATTTTTTTCTTCATTTTCTCTTTTGTTTTCGTCTTTGCTCGATGTCGGGTGTTCTTTTGATTCGACTGGAACATATATAGAGGAACCTTCAATAGATTCATCACAATCAAAATTATGTAATTTGATTCTTTTATATTTCGACGATATTTTAGATTTAGTTGCTTTACGTTTTTTTCATTTGTAATTTTAATTTATTAGACGTATCAGCAATCAAAATTGGTCTTCTAATTTGTCTTGTATTATAATATTTCCTGCATAAGATAAACTCAAAATCAGTTTCTTTCTTTACATCTGCCACACCAAATCCTATCACGTCACCATCGTTTACTTTAAAATCTTTATCGGGTTTTACTTTTACTTTATTTAAGTAAAGTCCATTGATGCTATTTAAATCTTTTATATACCAGACGCCATTTTCAGTTTTATGAATTTCAGCGTGTCTTCTGGATACATGAGGACTTAATTTTAAATGCAAATTGGTACATCTACCAATAACGATGTCGTCTCTTGTAAGCGGTATAACTACTAATAACTGCACATTACCTGTGCGAAGAAGATACCATTCGGACGGAATAATCCTCTCATCTACTTTTTGCATCCTGTCAAAGGAAAATAACCCGATTTTAGAAATAATTTAAAGTGTCCGCAAATAAAATATTAATATATTAACTTCATTTTACTGTAAATAATCATATTAAAAATATAAATTTTAAAACTAAGTGCTACTTGTTTGGTTTATTCCATAATAATAGAAAAGTGAAAAATACAAGGTAAAAATTGAATTAAAAATTTCTTCTGCATTCCAATCTAGATAAATACACAGATAATTGGGCGATTCAACACGACATACCAACATTATAACGTGCAATGGCAGTCAGAATGTCCTCATTATGAACGTTCCTAATCTGCAATGGGATTTATCGACATTGATAGAGAACAATGTCATTATTCGAATCCATGATAAAATTTGTAGTCTGGATCGGATCCCACGTTGAGATGTTGACATTTTATCGTACCTTTCTCTGTATCCAACTAAGATGTTCTGAAAACTGTTGCAATTAATAAAATGATAACAGCTTTTACAATTTTTATCAAGTACGAGTATACTTTAATTTAATTTATTTTGATCAAATTCTATTTGTATCTGTGTCCACATGGACATTGTTTATTAATAGGACTTATTATACAGTATATTATCATATATATTATGTTCCTTTATATGAATTATATCCTTTATACCAAATTATTTATTTCTAGTTTCGTCAATTATCTTATGTATCCATTCATCTAATAATCTTTTAAAATAACCGTTAAACAAAAATATTTTTACTATTTGTTGTGTTTCTGTTTCCTGGTTGTCTATTTTACTAGTTCTACCTTTAATTTTATCTATATATATTTTACATATACAGTAGATCCCCCTATAAGACGGTAGATACGTTCCGTTCTTTATGAATCAATTTTGTAGGAATCATAGTTTACGGACTACGGCTGTTTGAAAGGTTTTCTTTCATAAAATTAATCGATTCTAGACTAATTCGACTCAACATTTCCAAAATACGTATATTTTTTTG